TACCTCGTCGACTGGAAGGACACCCTTCCAGTCAACGAGGTACAAGTACCTCGCCGGCTGGAAGGCAGCCCTTCCAGCCGGCCCTTTAGAGGGCGGGTATCCGAGGATACCCGCTCGGATACCCGCTGCGGCCGACGGATACCCGCCAGCGGGTGCGGATGGGGATTCGGATGCTCAGATGGCCGGAAAAAGCAGCCGGATATCCGCATCCGCGCGGATATCCGGATGCCAATCGACCATCTCTACCTCTTGCAAGGGCTAGAATTAGGAATGGAATTCCAACACAGCAGAGCCCCGACTGGGTGATTTTCAGCCAAAATGAGCGGCTCGCAGGAGAATTTTGGGGTCCAGCAGAGCCGCAAGTAGACCCGCAACTGATTGCCCCCCACCTCGCCCCCGGCTATAATAGTATAAACCCAAGGCAATAGCCGCCTTGGCAGAGACCGGCTACTCGATCCTCACTGTTTTTCTCACAACACACAACAACATGACAACCACCATGATGCTTGATTGACTACTTCACCACCTAGCCACACCTCCCCCACAGCGATCGCTAGTCGTCTACCAGAGCCTGGCGACTTGGCCAATTGCCCCCTGCTACCAATTGCCAGTCTGCTGTGGGAGCAGTGTGACAGAGCTGAGACAGGGGTGTGATATGTGGTTGCAGGCCGCTAATCGGACAGAAATCGACCCCGGCTCTTCTGGAGATGCTCTAACGCAAGCCCCCGACCCCTGACTTAACTAAGCCGCCCGGGACTGGCACCCCCACACAAACCTTCCCCATTCCCAATGGGAGGCTAATTATGAGTTATTGCTGCTCAGCCCCTTGAGCTCTTCAAATTTTTTTTTGGCTTCTAGCCCAATCAATTGCACAATGGATCATAACAATGCACTCAGACATCATGATGAGTTGCTTTCAAGGAGCAAGTCAAGGATCTCAACTTCAATGTGCCATAAAAACTTTGAGCAGTGCAAATCATGACAAGCTGGCACTGCATAAACCAACTTTTTGGCCAAGCCAGTCTGACAAGTATTTGAACAGACTTTGTCCAACAAGCTCAGCAGCCCAGTGGTGGTGCACAACAGGACTTGTTGGTCAACATCAGTCCGGGCACTTGTCAGACTGGCTTGCCCAATGAGTTAATACATGCAGTGTGGGCTGCATAGAGGCCAGGAGTCAGGGAATTATTGTCAATACAGGGAAGTTGGACTGTAGAGTTGATGGAATGTCCCACCCATATACTGCTTCTCTGTTTGACAGATAGACAAAAAAATGAAACTTTAAAATCATAAACCAAAGGGCAAATTAAACCCAACCTCAACATCAGAAAGAAACTCTTTTAATTGGTGCAGCAGGTGTTGGGCCAGTGTAGGAGCAAAGTGCCAGTTTGCGGGGGGGATTTCCTCCCACCTAAAATGGCAAAACTCTCACACCAAAGTTTGGAGATTACCTGCACTTTGGAGAATTGCTTTGCAACAGCCTGGCCAAAGCAGGCCCTCCAAATAAAGGGCTTGTGTCAATTCAGCCTGACCCCCCCTCTATTCAAGAGGCTTAGTTAATCTTGCTCTCTTGATGTGGCTTGACTTGACTGCATGCTTGCATCTTCATATCTAGTACTACCCACAACTGACAGTCATGGGTCATTTGGACCAACTTGTCAAATTTCCAGCTTGCTTTGTTATCCCAGAAACATTCCTCAAACATGATCATGGGACAAAATGAACATTTGATATTGAGGCCTGGATTACATGACACTTTGAGGGCCTTGTAGGCAGCGGTGGGCCGCTACGCTACGCTACGCTTTTGGCCCAAAAAGCGTAGCGTAGCGGCGCTTTTTTTGCGCCAAATTTTTGTAGTGTTAGCGCTTTTGTAGCGCATTTTCGCTACGCTACGCTGCGCTACAGCGCTTTTAGCGGAAAAAGCGGCTAAAAACCGCTAAAAACGGCTGTAGCGCAGCGTAGTGGGCCCTTTTTTGTGGCCCACACGCGTAGCGTTAGCGGTGTCGCGGCGGAATTCCGCTACGCTACGCTTAACGCTAACGGGAATTCCGCTGTGTTACGCTACACTAACCGCTACGGTTAGTGTAGCGGCCCACCATTGTTGTAGGTTTTGGTAATTTTCAGCCTCTCCACTAGCTTATATGGTCAAAAGTGCCATGGAACCCAATAAAACCCATGCTGTGTGGTGGGGATGGGATGTTTTAGACTGTTCTGGAAACTTTTACCCATCTTATTAGTGTGGTTTTGTACTTTTTCAATGTTTTACATATTATTTTCATTACCCACCTCTACAAAGCTTCTGGGGTCCTGTTGCTTAGTTCACTTGAATTGAAAGATTTTCATGGCAATGGTTTGATTGTAAAATGTGAAAGTTGTTGGTGATGTTTGGTCCACATCCTTGAGGCCCCATTTCTTCTTTTTCAAACACACATTATTGGAGGTTGTATACCTAGTGGTCCAGAATAACCAAGTGGGCTCACACAGATCTTATGCCACCAAGGGCTTTGATTTTTCTGTTTATATGTGATGAGATCTTTTCTGAATGGTATTGCACCTTCAATAAAAGGATGAAAGCTGATCACTTCAAAGACACCCACAAAGTACTAAAAAGGCACAGAAAGCCGGAAAGACAAGCCAGAGGCATCATGATTTTCATCAGCCATGGAATCCAGAAAGCTCAAATAAAAGCAAAAAGTAGTTCTCAAGTTTCCCCAAAATGGTTATTCCCAAAATTTGGTAAACTTGATTTTCTTTGAGGATCATGAGACCAATAATCATTCAGATAATGAGATATAGTAGGTGAGTTAAAATTCCCACAAAAGAAACAATCATTAAGATATACATATTGTTCATTTTGAAGATTGCATGTAAGAACAGGAAGGATATATGTAATGTGAAACCAAAAATAAATTCATTTTCTTATGTCTCAGAAAAAAAAGGAGATGTTATATTAGATTGAAGAATGAGTTAGCCAAGTTGACTTGATCATTGTAGGATAAATCCATTGAACAACTTGCCAGTCCTTTCTTGAAATCCCAGTGATCCATGAGCCTTCTTTTTTACAAAAACAAACCAAAGCTGCTCATTCTTCCATCCGGAAATATGTCCCAAAAGAAAATGGTTGAACTGGGCCCAATTTAACTTGGAAATTAGCAGATACCCAACCATCATATGCTATAACCAACGGTGCCACAGATACGAGACATGTATTTGTATCGGATCGTATCGTATTTATTTTGAGCCTGATACCGGTATCAGTATTTCCTTGGTTGGTGAAAAAATACATTAGGGGGTATCAAATATAGGAAATCCACCATCAGAAACCAGTCACTTTTCCAAAAACTTTTTTTTGCATAAATGGGCCCCAAAAGGGGTTAAATGGATAACCAAAATGTTTAAAAAAGGGTGTATTTTTTCAAACCAGTCAATTAAATAATGGTGGATTTGGTTATATTTGATACCCCCTATTGTATCGGATTTGGATTTAAAAATGAAAAAAAAAAAAATTGTCTTCGTTTTTTTTTGTTTTTTCTTCAATACAGCCAAATATCTTATGTATCAAATATGGTTTTGGTGGGATCAGTCATCTGAGACGATACAGAATACATTTCTCACTTTTCAAATACGATACATGTATATGTCTCAGGAAAGTGAGACAACACAAATCCGGTATTTTTGGGTATTCCAATTCTGAGACGATACAGACAAACGCCTGATACCGTATCGTATCGTCTCTGTGGCACCGTTGCTATAACACCAACTTTTTCCCACCTGTATCTTTTTGGATTTTTTTTTCATTTGAAATGGTCATAGTCACTGATTTAAACCTAATTTGAAGTAGATCTTGATTGGCATCTGATCAAAGCCACCCATTTCAAATGGATTGTTTCAGATAGGGCTATTAGTTGAAGAGAACCTTACAAACCGACGAGCTTATCTACAGGCATCCAGAAACTGGGAATCTGTAAACAAGCAGGTTCTTTCCAAGTGAATGAAATGAACTTGCTAGTACATACATACAAGCCCAGACTCTCTGTAGGGATCACCACTGGAAATCAATCAGCTACAAGCAACCTCATTGCTCCAACTTCTTGACATAAATCAAGTCTACTGTTAGTGTACTTCACCTATTTTTTTATTGGAATCATTTCTTTTTGGAAAGATGTGAATGGCAAACAAACACCTATTTCATATGGAAACTGGCCTATTTCGAAAGCAGAAAATGGGAAGGATGGTGTGTTGAGTTTTGAACTCAACCCCCAAGTTTTCACAAAGTCTTCACTGGATCCAACAAATATTCAAAGCTTCCTCTTTGATCACCAAGACAACTTTCAACTTCTCCTCTGTCACAAAGAAACTCTTTTTTTCCACACTTTTGCAAAACAAAAAACTTTTGCATGTGAATCACCAAACAAACAAACAAACAAAAAACCCTCTCTCTTGCAGTAAATTCTTCTTTGTCATTTGATTGAGAAAAAACACACATTAATTCAACTTGTGTTGATTTCTGGCACCTGGGAGGAGGAGCCCGGATGAGTTTCTGGGAAGACTGATTGGAAGCGTTGATGCTTAAGCAGTTTTTTTTTTCAGTGTCCATGTGTCCATGTGTCAAGACTTATCTTATACATCAACCTGTTCTTATTGTTCATAATGTTTGAGTTGAAATCCTTTCATTTCATTTTAATTATTTTTCAAAAAACACATTACATAATTCTAATGATTTCATTAATTGACATAACTGTTTCAAGTAGATGCCCAATTTTGCACGGGATGGTTTGGGACAACGACTCGATGAGAAACAAGGAAACAAATGCCCACACAAGTTATGAAATAAATCTCCACACACCAGACAGTAAAAGAAAAGGAGGGATGCATGCAAAGTCCGAAGCCCAAGTGAAGTCCATTTGGGTCGTACGAATCACCAACAAGCCATTACCGACAACGGCAAAAACCTTACAAATAGATCAACGACAACCCAAGCTAGATCAAATGGGCTTGTTTTAATGAAGGACGTTAGTTGGAGTGGTGGAGTGAGCAGGAAGAGGATAGGTCGGGGGAGAGCACGAGGCAGGGAAGACGGACAGCTTCAAAGCCGGGGCATCGACGAAGATGGTAGACGAAAGTTCGGACGGGTCCCACGCGGAGTCCTCCTTGCGATCGTCCTGCCACCACCCCCCAGTACTCCCACTTGTCAGTTTCTCTTACCATAAGCAGGAGAGTCAGAACGGTTGGGCGGGCTCACAGTTGTGACCGTCGGAGAATCGGTGAATGGGCGTCGATTGAAAGCCGGTTTTTGATCCTGCTGGGTTCGATATGGCGGCTGTAAGGAGTCGAGTAAGGACCCGTTCGTGCCGTCTAGTACGTCTAACATTATCTTGGTCACTTTGCTGTAAGTGGCTGCTGTGTGGACACTGCAATATTAAATAATCCAAAAGATCCTTCGTGAATGATTTTTTTTTCTCTATGTCAACTAGTCAAGGACCAATATTCCTCTAAACAACAGACAACAATAAATTGAGGGGAAAAAAGATAAGCCCCATACCTAGAGGCCAATTCGTCCAGAATCGCGATCACCAAGAGGATATTATCGCGTCTGACTTTAATCTCCAGAGGACCGATCGACTCTTTCTGTTTCCTGGTAGCGCAGACCAGGAGGATGACGGCAAACATGATTTCGAACGGCAGCCAATGGAAAGCCTTTGTGAGCAGTCCCCGAAGGCGCAGGGCGCCCATGGCTTGAATGGACAGCATCGCAAACTCGACGAACCGGTGGATGTGCGGATTCATGTTCCTCGTCGATTGGGTGGCGGCTGGCTCGTTGTCTTGGTAGTGGAATAACGTTTGGTGTATCAACATCTGAAACTGTGAATAGTGACTTCACAAATCACAGGCAAATGAAGAAGGTGTAGACCAAGGTCATCAGTCGGTCTCCAAGGATTACGAGGGTGCCAAAATAGCTCACACAGTCACAAACACCGAGAAAATCAAGATTTCGGCAGGAGCATTGATGTCGACGCGTTTGAAGATCGGAGGCACCTTATCGAACCATTTCCTAGCACTCAGGTCGAGCTGGTCGACCAATGCTTTCAAGGTTTTCATTGATTCAATTCCCACGGGAGCTTTCGAATCCGCTTGCATCTTGAACAACAGGCGCATCATATACTTGAGCGAGCCGAGTTCCAAGAGCGATGCTCTGACTTCATCAAATGCCACATGTGCTTGATGGACGGCTGGACTGATCCTCGAATATGGGTTCGCAAAGATGCCCAGCGGATCGCCACGCTGGACATGAGTTGGTTCTGTGGCGACAGAGTGGTCAGCTTCTGGTGATCATTGCTTATGAGCTGGTGATTGATCTTGATATCTAGGAGGATAATGATAAAGTGCCACTGACGGAGATCAAAGTCATCATATTCCACCAAAGGCGCCCTACCCAACGAATAACTAGTCCTGTAAGCCATTTCGTATAACTGAAAGAAAGCCTGACGCCGGAGATAGTCCTGAAGAGGATCAGCGTTCCAAAGATGGTGCACTTCACGATGAGCACCGCATTCCTGGCAATGGGGAAAAAAAAAAAACTAAAAATTAGTGGTAGTTACGTCTGGTCGGTTCTCTCGACTTTTCCCCAGTCATTTTACCTATCAATCAAAGCGATTGAAGAGGTTTTTTTGAAAACCATTTGACTGACCTGTGCATGAAGCAGACCCCGCTCAACAAAAATCCAGGTCATCGGGAGCTGGTGTGCGCCTAGCGAGACGATTGTCAACAAGACAAAAGCCTGCAAATGGAAAAGGGTTGCGCGATCGTAGCCGGGTTGAAAGAGACACAGAAGCCCAGCGTGAGTGAAGCGGACTCCCACGTATTCCGGCGAGAGCTGTTGCCTGCCGGCCAAGTCGAGCCGGACCCTAGGATCCGATGACCATCCACTAGCAATGGAAAACATGAGCAGACAGAGAGCTCTGAAGGTGGGGTTGGTCTGCGCCAGTCCAGACCTATGAAGCCCACGAAACATGGTCGGATGGATGACCGGGACGAATGGGTGGAAACGCTCGAAGTAAATCGTGAGCAGCGCTTCCTCCAAGTCAGGCTCCGGATAGAAGCATGTCGCGCTCGAGACATATCGATCATGGCGAAGACGCAGATATTCATCCACCGGACCTAGGGTGTCAAAGTCCCAGACAGGCAGTTTGGGAATCCCAAGCGACGATGGATCGGCCATGCTGAGCCCGGAATTCGGGCCGATATACTGGTCCGGGGAGACGACGAGACCGAGAAATTTGGACATCGGTTGAGTCTTGTCTGACTGAGTCCAATGCATGTTTGTGACAGCAGGCCTCGCTGTGATGTTCAAACCATGCATCCCGCTAAGAACCGCCGAAAGCTGAGACTCATGGTGCTCTTCTGGAGCAGTTTGAGCGGCGTGATGCTCTGGTTGAAATGCCGGGTCGGCGTGGGATAGACTGGGAAGCTGGGACCCATCTTGTGAGTTTGGAACGAGCGTGTCAGGATCTGGTAAGTCGTTGAGGTCAAGAGTAGGGTCCACCGCGTGAAGGAGTCGCTCCAAAGATCTGATATGAGCCTCAAGTTGCTCGGCCTCTCTGGAAGTATTTTCGTGGATGGATGCTCAGCTCTGAGACAACAAGAGTTCCTTCTCCTGAGGAAAAAAAAAACGCGTACTTGATTGTTGGTGGTCTCTCCTTCAAACTGCCTGGATTGGCAAACGTGCACTTGACACCAATTCTGACGCAATTGATACAGCGATCATTCTGCAAGTAAGAGCAATCATAATGAGATGAGATACGGTGGTCAGGTGCTGAAAGACAGTGGACGTACTTCGACGACACATTTCACTTTACTAGTCCTGCATCTATCGCAACTACGAGGGATTCCTGTGAAGAAAGAAAGACATCGAGTGAGAGTGAATGCTGCTCGATGTTTATCCTAGCCCCAGCAGAAGTGAACAACATACGATACCTTCGCCGTTTTGGCGCGCTTTCTGGTTCTGGGGTGGTTGCGTTCATCTCGCCGGCAGCGCTTGCACACAAATAGATGTGTCCCTTTTCTTTTCAATCTTTTCCGATGCTGGGATCTCCTGCTTTCTTCGCCCCGGTCGATGGAGCACTGCCTTGACCCACACCACGGGTGGACTCCAATGCCAACTGTTCTCAGTACCAACGGGGTTTGCAATCCATCCTCCTGAGCATAAGAAGATGGTCCAATCAACTGAGTCGACTCGAAAACAAATGCAGGTTTCTTCTGGTCAACTTGAAAACCGCGGTTGGTCTGCAAGTCGCCTTCACTGCGCAAATTAACTCATCGGGCAAGCCAGTCCGATGAGTGCTCGGACTGACGTTACCCGACGAGTCCTGGTGTGCGCCACCACTGGGCTGCTGAACTCGTCGGACAAAGTCTGTCCAAAGACTCGTCGGACTGGCTTGTCCGACGAGTTAGTTTATGCAGTGCTTGAGAAGTCCACAGCTTCAAGACCAAGATTCTGCAGTTTTAAACTCAGCCTGAGAGCTGCACTGTTCAAACTGACATGAGAATCAGAATCCTGCACTTTTCAAGGAGACTTGAGAGCTTGATGCTTCTCTGCTCACTTCGCAAGATAGGGTTGTAACACGTTTGGAAAAGCGCAAGGAGCCCCTCTGACCAGCGCAATTGCGGCGCCTCCAGGCACCTTTTTCTTTTCCTATGAATGAGAGTCAGCTCCATTATTTGATGGTGAGACTGGAAATCTGAGATGAAGGATTCATATTTCGGACTAAGATAGATGTCGGATGACCAAAGGTGTGTTTATCAAAGCCTGCAAGTTTAACATGAAGTTTGGACACCAGGCTTCCTCAAGGAGAGAGCTCTGTTGAACTACAGGTTTCAGTCTATCCATATTGTCATCTCTCTCTTTATTCATTATAAATTGTAGTTAGATAGACAAAGTTTAACTCGCAGCATGTGCGCAGTAAACCTAGTTGAGCATGTTATAAGACCAATAGCTAGCACATCTTGTATCGGTTCTCTAACCAACTCAACTCTTTTGTTCACTACTAACATCGCTCGTCTTTCCTCAACCTGTCTGGTTTAGGTTTGCCTCATCGCATCGTTGTCACCGCTCATAGTCGCTTGTGCCTAACGCTGCTCTTCACCATCAAAGGTTTGCCTCATCGCATCGTTGTCACCGCTCATAGTCGCTTGTGCCTAACGCTGCTCTTCACCATCAAAGACTTTATTGTCTTATAAGCTCTTGGAGCGTCTCCCTGGAAAAGTTAGGCTTGGATAAAAAGGGACCCAGCACAGCATTTTGTTTGACGATTTGGGAGCAATTGGCTAGCCCAGTGTATTGCTTGTCAGAGATAAAAAAAGTGACCATGTGTTTTCTGCTACAGCTCATTGCATCTTCTGTGGTGACTCATAAGTCATATCCACAGCAATGTACAGCTGTTCCCAAAAACCTTGCGGTTTCGGGAGCGCTGTATTTCCGAAGAAAATTTTTAGCGCCACCAAATTTTTACGCCTCACGGCCTGTACATCCCTGTACGGCCAGAGGTTTCTGCCCAGGGCAGTTTTGTCCGGCGAGCCGGTCGGGGGAGGGGGGGAGGGGAGGAGGGGGCAGCCGTCCCATCTGCTATCCACCAACCGCTCTTCCCGACCAGTCACCGCAGACAGCCCGGCCGAAGGTTTTTCTCTTATTCCTCGCGGTCCGAAATTTAAAGGATTAATCGATAACGAATCGATAACGACACTGTAAGTCATTATTACCCCGTCACTTCTGATTGAAACTGATTCCTTGCGGTCCGAAATTTAAAGGATTAATCGATAACGAATCGATAACGACACTGTAAGTCATTATTACCCCGTCACTTCTGATTGAAACTGATTCCTTGCGGTCCAAAATTTAAAGGATTAATCGATAACGAATCGATAACAACACTGTAAGTCATTATTACCCCGTCACTTCTGATTGAAACCGATGTGTCGACGTTTCGCTGAAATTGCTGATTTGTGTGGTCTAGTGGGACGATGCCGTACGTCCACTACGAACGAGGCGTAAAGTTGATTGCAGTGAAGATGCTCCTGCGGGGCGAGTCGCAAGAGAGCATTAACCTCACCCTTGACCTGCAAATCTCCGATGATTCCTTCCGTAAGTGGAGGCAGTTGTACGCACGAACACAAGATGTGATCCGTAATCCTGAGCTATACGAACGGCAAGGCCGCCCGTTGGCGATCCCCCGAAACGAGTCGCAATTCATATTGGATGCCCTTGAATTGGAGCCAACGCTATTCCTCGATGAGATCCAAACACAGTTGGCAGCCATCAACGTCGATGGGGATGATACTCCCTTATCCACGATTCACAACGAGATCAAGCACCGACTTCGTCTGACCAACAAGGTTGCCCGTACGGTCAACGCGGGTCAATGTGCGATGGCTCGGGCCAATTACATCGGTCTAATTGGCCCCATCCCATCGAATCATTTGGTATTTTTAGGTGAGTGCTATGTAGTGCTATGTATTCTCCAGGTTTGATATGTGATGATTGACAGGGTGTGTTTGGTGGATATATGGTAGATGAGGCCGGTGTGTCTATGGAAACCCACTCGCGCAACAAGGCTTGGTCCCCAAAGGGCCAGCGAACACAACGGATAATTCGTCCCCTGGGGAGCACGAGGATCAATGTTATGCCGGCGGTCGCTTTGGAGGGCCTGATTGCGGTCATGGCACAGGAGGGGACAATATTTCGACTCGATCTGGAGTATTTCTTGGCTGAGGTACTGGTGGGTAATGTTTATGCACTCCTGGATAAGATTGTTGAGTGCTGATGGGCTTGTTCATGTGTTTTAGCTGCCTAATATGAGCCCGTTCCCGGGTCGGAACAGCGTTCTAGTGATGGACAACGCACGATTCCATCATGGAGGGATGGTCCGGCAGATGTGCGAGAGTCGGAACATTATGTTAATCTACTTACCGCCGTACTCGCCAGACATGAACCCTATTGAGAAGGTTTTTTCAGTCTTGAAGAGTCAACTCAAAAGGCGTCGAATCCTAACTGGTACCCATGCGGATGCCGAGATAATTAAGAATGTCCTGCCTGAAATTGTAACTTCTGATTTGATGCATTCCCTCTTTAGAGGGTCCAATTATGCGGCTTAGATCCCTGTATCTTGCCATTTGTCTAGTTATTTCATCTGTTGGGATGCCATGAGTAATTAACCAGATCGTTACTAGATCGTTAGATATGTCAACGCTTTTGAGTTGGCAGTTGTATGCAAGAGTTCTGTAGATGTTTAGGGGGTGTCTGTTGTCCGATTACATGGAGTTACACTTGGTCAATATTTTTATTGAGAGACCGACTGCAAAAGACTTGGGAGATCGGATGCTGGACTTGGACAATCTCACATTTCCGGGCTTGGTCGATCTCACATTTCCAAGTCCAGCGTGCTTGGCAATGGGCTCTTGGCCTTGGAAATTCTCAAATTTCAACACTGGGAGCTCGGTGATGGGTTCTCATGTATATCGGACAAGTAAAGTGTTCATTTCTATATTGTCAGAGCGGCTAAAAAGAGTGAACTACCACATTATGACAAGAATAGCGAGCAAAGAGGATAAGAAGATTGATAGATAGATGTATTTGGGCAATATCGATTGGAAGCCAAGAATCAAAAACGTAGATGTAGTTAAATGAGTTAATCTACGATACATGACCATAGCCTGATAGGGCATCCAATACCTTGGGCAGTACCACCAGATGTGCGAGATGTCAGACATCAGGCTCCAGCATTGTTTTCCCCAAGATGATAGTTCCATATAAGATTTGCCGGGCAATTGCTTCCGGGAAGCTTAAACGCATGAGATCCTGGACCGACGCGGTTAAGAAGAAGGTCCAATGACTGATGTGATTCAGCCTGATCAACCCGCGCGGAATCGTGTCGGTGTCTTGGAAGTTACAGAGCGCAAGGAATTCGTCCATGCTCAAGGCACGCCCCTGGGCATTTGCCGCACGAGGAGGGGTTTGACCCGCGAACAAAGCCGATTGCCGGTTAAAGACTCCTATCAAGGCCTGTGTGGGATGGGACCTCATCATCGGTTCGGCGGATATATCAGAATTAGACCCGGGCCGAGACGAGGGGAGGCTCGATAACACTCGCACAGCCCCGGATGGCATATCACGGGTTTCCTCCGGCGAGGGGTGCCTTGAGGTAGGATCGCGCTTTCGGGTGGGTGATTGGGATGGAGATCGATCCCCAGAGGTGTCACGCCGAGCGAACGATAGGCTGCTGAAGGCTTCACCCACCATGCTCCCATCGGGGCTGCGTGGGTACTTGCGCCCTTGAACGTCAGACGAGTATGGGAACATCCGCGCGGATTGCCGATCGACGCCTGCGTGTGGACCATTGATTGTCTTCCCTCCAGGAGGACCAATGATCTGGACCTCTGAGCCTGGGCTAGATATGCTGATGACTTCCTCGGGCGCGGTCGTCGACTGGGGTAAGTTGGGCGCCTCGTTGGAGCCGGCGGCGGGGGCCGACACCTCAATGTCCGATTGAGTGAGCGATGGGACTGGCACGCGGGCAACCTCGCTGACCCCCACCCGTTTTGGTCTGATCATCCCGCGGCTGCCTTTCCATGTGGCCACAGGCCGGGGGACACTTGCGGAGGAAGGATTCACTCCGATGGCGGCTGTATTTCCACCGTGGGCCAATGCAGAGAGACTGGCGGGCTGGGGAGTCGCCTGACGGCGGGCTGTCATTTGCCCATCAATGGGGGTCCGCGGGGCTTCTGTCAAGGCCCTAACATCATTCGTGGGTCGCTGGGGTCGAATTGAGGAGGCAGCCTCAGCGGACGGGCGGTCGGCCGGGCGTGTCGGCGTATTGGTTGGGGGGACAGGGTTGTTATCGCCCCCCGTGTGGCGGGCGACGTTAGGACCGGAAGCCAAATCGGCAGCGGCTTGACGAGCTGCTGCCCGGGCGGCCAGTGTGGGTGTTGGGCGATTGATCCACACAAAAGCGTCGGTCTCGGGTGGGTGGTCCATGTCCACGGCCGGGTTTAGGCCATGCATGATGCAACGTGCCCAAGCCCAAAGCCGCTGGGTGTGGATTTGCATTCCGAGCAATGGATCGGTTGGGTGTCCTATCCACAATGACTCGGTCCCGCCCCCATAAGTTGCCAAGATGTGCGCGGTCAACTGGGCAACAAATGGGGCCGTCGGATTGCCGTTAACATCTGCGCGGGGCTGGAGGGGAATGTCAATAAATGAAACCAGGACAATACATCAAAGCTCAATCTCTTACTCACATTCATTGCCTGACGTGCGCGAAGGCGTTCCAAAGGCAGGCGCTCCTCAGCGTTCCCAAAGTTCAGCGTGAGGTAAATCATCCTGCACCCGAGCCTGATTGACACCGGGAACGCATCAGCTACATGACCCAACATTCCAGAGCGCACAAGGAAAACTCACAGCCTCTTGTTGTCTTGCTCGAGCCTGCGGGTCTTCCATTGTCAAACGGACAGTAACCTTTGCGTTCCCACTGTCGGCGACCGCGTCCGCAAAATCTCGGAATCCCATCTCGTTCGTCATAAAAACCAACTTCTTTGGCCCGTAAACACGACTCCCGGCAATGATCAACTGCCACCTAATGGCTCCCAAGCTGTTTTCCGAGTGCAGGAGCCCGGCTAGATGATTCCGAGTCTCCCCGAGCTTGCGAATGACAAGGTCCTGGAACTCGACCATTGTGTACCTCGTGAGGTCACATCGCCAGACCGGGAGTTGATCTTGCGATGGTACGATTTTCTCCCACTCCCTTCGGGGGGCCGCGGGCGCCCGGCGCGCCACTTGGGCCTGGGTCAAAAGCGTGGTGGCGGATCGGACAAAGAACAAGTAGTCCAGGTGGACCAGCTTGCCCGTGGCCTCGGTATCTTCGCGCGAGGCTGACATGCGAGGTCCGACGCCGGTGCCGCCGCCGTGAGGGGTTGCAGGATTGGAACTAGCTGGGACCGTTGCCACCTCGCCCATGTGAAGCGGCGCCGACCGAACGTTCAGGGGAGTAGATGGAGCTGCTGGGACGACTCTTGCGGCAGTCGGATGCCCGGCCGTGGCCGGGACTGTTGGGCCGTTGTTGTGCGCCGGTTGTTGATAAATGTTGGGGATTGGAAAGGTGTTCTCGCCGGGTTCCATTTGGGTGAACAAAGGCTCGTAGGGCTGGTGACCGGGGGATGGCATGAGTTGAGACTCTTGAGTCTGCTCACCTTGGAAGGCAGCTGGGAGGTTCGATTCATCCAAAAATTCCATCTGTAGCCAATATCATCAGCTAAGAGCAATCAACGTGACCGGGTCAGAGTAAACGGGTACGTTTCACTTACTTCGATCGAGAATCACGGTTGTGTTGAGGTTGTTGTGGGGTTTATGGGTTTTATTGGGAAGAAAAAAACTGCCGGGCTGTCTGCGGTGACTGGTCGGGAAGAGCGGTTGGTGGATAGCAGATGGGACGGCTGCCCCCTGCTCCCCTCCCCCCCTCCCCCGACCGGCTCGCCGGACAAAACTGCCCTGGGCAGAAACCTCTGGCCGTACAGGGATGTACAGGCCGTGAGGCGTAAAAATTTGGTGGCGCTAAAAATTTTCTTCGGAAATACAGCGCTCCCGAAACCGCAAGGTTTTTGGGAACAGCTGTACATGTATGTGGTATCCTAGCTTTGGTGGGACCACTCCATACTTGCGTTTGGTCACTGTTCACATTAATTAGTTGCTCTTACAACAGCAAGATAAAAACAGTGCAACAACCACACAACAACAATGCAACAGTAACACAGAATCAAGTAGATAGAGCACAGGAGATGCAAGAAAAAAAGGAAGAAGAAGAAAAAAAAACGAGGTGATGAAAAGTTAGACAATGGGAAGAACGATGACCAAGGGGGAGGAAATGCTTGATTAACTTGTACACAATTGGTAATATATCGATATGTACTGCTTCAGGAGCACGGAAATGTGTGTGGAAAAGTTAAGGAGTCCATGATGTTATAAGCAGATTGTGGAGTAAAACAGAGGAAGAAGATTTGCACGAGGGTCCAGAGATGAGGTGATGACTGATCTGAGGGTATATGAGTTGACAGACCGTCACTCTGAGCAATTGACAACCAAAAAGAAAACCTTAGAAATTGATCAAAATAGCCCAAACTAACTCAAATGGGGTTGTTGTGAGATGTTTTTTTGAGATGAGTTGCTTGGTGTGGGATCGGCAAGGGTAGGAAGACAGGTAGGGGATTAGTCAAAGATGGTGAAGAATGGCAAAGTCAAAGCAGACGCATCGAATGAGACCGAAGAGATTTCCAAGGGGTCCCACGAGTTTTCTTTCGGCCCGTCCTGACAATCATGACGATCACTGGTCAAATGGGTTGAGTTGATAGCTGCGACCGAGGCTGGACAGCTCGGCGGGCTCACTGTTGTGGCCGCAGGGGAATCTGTGGTCGGGAACCTTTGATCTCCAGACTGCTGCTCTCCGAAGGACGATTTTAAGGAGTCTAGTAATGAGGCTTTCGTTTCGTCTAGTGCACGGAACATTGCCGTTGCCACTCTGCTATATGCTACCGCTGTGTGGACGCTGACAAAACAAATGATGTGAGAAACCAGTGAGTGACATGGTACTTTGTATGAAATATTCTTAAAGCGATATACAAGCATACATGGACAGCAAAGAAAGAAAGAAAAGGAAGCACACACCTGGGAGCCAGCTCGTCCAGGATCGCGATTGCCAAACAGATATTATCGCGTCTGACTTGATTTTCCTGAGGAGTGATCGAGTCCCTCTGCTTCCGGATAGAGCATACCAGCAGGACAACAGTCAACATAAGGTCGAACGGCAACCAATAAAATCCGCCTGTCAACACCTTGCGAAGCCGCAGTTTGTCCATCGCTTGAATGGATAAAATCGCAAACTCGACAAATCTGTCGACATGCGGATTGGTCCTGGTCGCTTTGTTATTCGGGTCATCGTCTCGGTAGTTGAATAAAGTCTGGTGTATCAACATTTGAAACCCTGAATAGTACCTTAAAAAAGGCAAACCCGGAATTAAACTAATGTGATCCTTTGTGATCTCGAAAGATGATAGGTTGCGAAACCAACTCACGTGATGACAAACGCAGAAAACGACAGGATGTCGACAGGAGCTTCGGTATCGGCGCGTTTGAACATCGGAGGCACCTTATCGAACCATCTGGTAGCATTCAGATCGAGCTGGTCTACCATTGCTTTCAAGGATTTGATTGATCCGGCTCCCCCAGGGGCTTTTGCACTAGCTTGCATCTTGAATAAAAGGGGCAACATGTGTTTGAGCGAGCCGAGTTGCAGCAACGACACTCTGACTTGATCGAATGCGACATGGACTTGATGAACTGCTGGACTGATACTCGAATATGGATTCTCAAAGATGCCCAGTGGATCATCACGCTGAACGTACATTGGTTCTAGATCGATGGAGCGGTCAGCTTGGTGTAATCGCCCGTTACCAGGTTATCCGTAAAGTCATCCTACTGACGGAGATCAAAGTCATCATGTGCCACCAGAGGCGCCCTATTCAACGAATAGCTGATTCTGTAAGCCATTTCGTACAATTGAAAAAAGGCTTGACGGCGTAGATAGTCCTGGAGAGGATCAGCGTTCCAAAGATCATGCACTTCACGATGGGCGCCGCATTCCTGGCAATAAGGCAAAAATAAAATCAGTGCTAGTTACGCCTTGGCGCTTTTCTTTATCTTTCTTTATTGATTTTGTAGACTTGGTTATTTTTTGTTTTTGTTCGTCTGTTCCTTTCTCTCAAGAGGCGGAAAAAAACCAATTGAGCTTACTTGTGCAAGTAGCAGACCCCGCTCAGCGAAGATCCAGGAGATCGGGAGATCGTGTGCACCCAGCGAGACGATGGTCAACAAGGTAAAAGCTTGCAAGTGGACCAGGGTCGTGCGATCGTAGCCGGGTTGCAACAGGCTTATAAGGCCCGCGTAAGTAAAGCGCATGCCAGCAAATTGTTGAGATTGATGTGGCCTTCCGGCTAAGTCGAGCTGGACCCTAGGATCAGTCGACCATCTGCTAGCGATCGAAAACATGAGCAAACAGAGGGCCCTGAAGGTAGGATTGGTCTGCGCAAGTCCCGATATATGATGGTCACGGAACGTGGTCGGATGGATGACTGGGACGGAAGGGTGGAACTTCTCGAAATAGATCGTGATAAGAGTTTGTTCCAAGTCAGGCTCGGGATAGAAGCGTTTCGCGCTCGAAAGATATTCCTTGTGACGAAGGCGGAGATATTCATCGACCGGACCTTGTGTGCCATAGTCCCAAGGAGGCATTTTGGGGACCCCAAACGCTGCTGCTTCGGCCACGCTGAAGACCGAATTAGGGCCGATATACTGGTCCGGCGCGATCAAGGCACCAACAAATCTGGACATCGGTTGGGTCTTGTCTGACTGCGTCCAATGGATGTGTGTCACGGCAGGCTCCGCTTCGATTTGCAAACCTTGGATCGCGCTCAGAACGGTCGAAAGCTGAGAGTCAAAACAGTCTTGTGCGTTACTTTCAACGGTGTGAAGCTCTGGTTGAGATGTTGAGCCAGCGAGTGGTCTAAGGGAACGCTGGGGCGCTGCTTTTGAGCTTAGAACGAGCCGATCGGGATCCGGTAAATTGTTGAGATCAAGTGAAGGATCCACGGCGTGGAGTAAGCGCTCCAGAGATCTGATGTGGGCCTTAAGCTGCTCGACATCTCTAGTAATATTTTGGGGAATGGAATGCACATTCATAAGTTTTGAATGATTGAAATTATCTATGGCAGAAAAAAAAACGCCTACTTGTGTGTTGGTGGTCTCTCCTTCAGACTGCCTGGATTGGCAAACGTGCACGTTACACCAAGTCTGACGCAATTATTACAGCGGCCATTCTAAGAAGAAAAAAAGATGAGACAGGTTGAGCAGAGATTTAAGAAGGCAGAGGGGACAGTGGATTTACTTCAAGGACACATTTCACTTTACTAATCCTACATTTATCGCAGCTACGAGGGATCCCTGGAAAGATAGAGAGCCGTCAAGTCAGTTATGTGCTCTGCTCGACGTTTGCTCTGGCATAACATTCAACACACGGTACCTGCGCCGTTTTGGCTTGGTTTCTGGATCTGGTTTGTTGACCTCCATGGGCCCGTTTTCGAAGTTTTCGGAAGATCCGGGACGGCTGGTCCCTCGCCCCGGTCGCTTCTTCGCCACCTCGACGGGAACAAACCTGAACAAACATAAATACGTCACGCCGTGCATGTATGCGCTGACTGAGAGTTTCACCCTCACCGCTATGTACGTCATGACTGTTGACAGTCTGACAGATGACAGACAGCGGCAAGGAGCATGAAATTGAAATACAATGGACATGCAACAGATCTTGGGAAAGCTTACATACAGTTTTGGCCACACTTCTTTCTTCAAAGAAAACCTCATGACAACTTGTGAGCTCTTGCAACTCAGAACCTGCATATTCACAAGCAAACCCAAATGTTTCCAGTGTGTTTGAAAAATGGTAGGTCAATTCTGTCCACTAAAAGAAGGTAAAGTACTGGGATTTGCAGAAGTTTCCAAAGATATATACTGAAGTGCACAGAGACCAAACCAACTTAGCCAAGATGCCAATCTTTTGTGCAGGTGACTCCCCTGCATTATGAAAAAAAGAAAATGGCATAAGTGGCAGGTTACTTGCAGCATAACTTGGTTAGTACTAGTAGGAATTCTGAAGTGAGTTGCTTTGTGCATCCCACTGTCTAGGATGCACCACAGCAACTGTGAATAAATATTTAACTTAAGCACCTGTTGAGTAATGTTTGAGTATTAACATGAGTTACAGCAGAGTCCTTCAAACTTTATCCAAAGTCCCTCACTTTGGAGAACCATGGTAGCCCTGACAATGATTCAGTCAGGCTCTTGAAAAGGCATGATGTTGGAATAGTATGCAACACAAACAATCTTGTATATAACTCATACCAGATTGTTACTGGAGTTTTTCCCCTAAGTGAATCAAACCATTTCTTTTCTCACTCTCAGGTGTCACAAGACTTCTAGTCTGTGAACTTCAGGCAACTCATCCTATGTTCCCCTCAAAACACAAAGTTCATATATTCAGCCTGATTCAAATCATGAGATTAAGGTAAAAAGACCAAAAGAGACCACATGAAAAAAAAAACTCATTTCATGATGAAAAATCCATCCAGAAAATCCTAGTTTTGGATTGAGAAGAAGTAGAATAAGGTAGACCATAACAGTCTTTCTCTCCTCCTCCCCCCTCATTGAGTGCAATGAAAAAAAAAGAAAAGTAGAAAAAGAAAATCCTAGAAAAGTGAACAGTAAGTGATGAACTTCAAGACATATTTGGACCATATTTCAATCTGAGATTCAATTTGGTACAAGAGAACTTAAAGACCGCATTAAAGAACTTTTTGAACATAGAATTTCTCAGTCCATTTGGATTATAAGCAAGTTCTTGAAGCCCTGAATTGCCAGGATCCTTGAGCCAAAAGTACAGCAAATCCCACACAAAAGCGGGGAGATTGCCGTGGAAATGGATCTGGGAAAGGATCCTGGAGGAATTGTTTTTTTCGAATGCTTGGAATCTGAGGATGGCGATTTTGAAAAGAGTGTTCTTATGTTGAATGGATGAGAAGGATTGATTGGTTGGATTTGGAGGGATGATGGTGTCTATCATGTCCACAAAGTACAGGAAGATGGCAAGTAATCTCTGGGAATTGGCCAACAAAATTCCCCTATTTTTTAATTCATCTTTCAAGTTAATCCCAGTTCTGTTTGCCCAAAAATTGAACCAATACTGTTGATTAAACCAGATTTCTTTGAACCCTTTTCTGATGAGATTCCTGAAGAAACTTGCATGCTTAGTGTATTCTGGGCCAGCATTATAAGGTTGAGGATCTTTTCTGTTATCATAAATACTTGCAAGCTCATCAAATGCTTTGGGAGCATTGTCCATCTTCAACACAATCTTTCCTCCTCCATCTATCTGCATCCTCTCAAAAAATTTGGTGAGATTTTCTTTGATCTTTGGATTTGGATGGAAAATTTCAAGAGCACTTTGATCAAAATCAAGGCTTTCCATTTTGAATACATTTCTCAAAGATCTATTTCCGTCCATCTCATTTCTATCATTGGAAAATCCATGAGCAATTTGGTTTTCACTATCTTTCAGGCCTCTGAACCTCAATGCTTTGGAGAATTTTTTTCCACCTTTGCCATTGGCCACCATGTTTTTGTTTCTTTTTTGATTTGAGTTTAGGTCTTTGGATAAATCTTCCTTAATTGCAGATTCAGATACCATCTTGTTCTGAAACAAATTCTTACTCTCTTCTGTTGACATATATCCAGCTATGGAGACAGAATTCTTGCTCAAGGATTTTGGTCCTTGAAAACTTACTTTGATCTTCTTGTTGATTTCCTGATGATTTATTTTTTCAAAAGGCTTCTTTTTTACATTTGGATTGGGGAATGGAATCAAAATATTACTTTCAGAATCAATTATCAAGGGCCTCTTGAATCTGACTTGGTCATTTGAGGAAGACACCATTTCATCATTGATACCTTTATTTTCCAAGTGTTCCAATTGAATTTGGTGCAGTTCTGGGGATTTGAGGTTGTAATTTTCAAACAAGACACTTGTTGCTAAGGTTTTCATTGGAGAAAAACTAGAATCAAAATTGAAATATCCTTTGTGATGTTGTGGATCAGGATAGACAGTTTTTTGTTTTGTTTGAGAGTGATTTGACAATCCAAGATTCAGTTCCTTTCCAGCATCCAGGAGCTCTTCAAAAGTTGAGATTGTATTTTCTTTTTTAGTTTGTTCCTTTGTTGTGCAAAATAAACTTTCATGCACCAAGAAATTGTGTCTTGGTGCTGCAGCATCTGACAAGGTTATTATGAGATTAGGAAGGGTTGGTAGGGGGCTCAAGGGATTCTCCTCCACTTTCAAAATGGGAAGATGGTTTACAGAATGAATTGAGGAGTCCTGCATTCCATTGCAGACAGCAAAGATACCCAAGAGGGCAAGTCTTCTGTATTGGTTATTTAAGGTTGGCATTCTGTTTAATACTAATATGTTCAATGTGAGTGGGAAGATCTGAGTGAGACTTCCTTATTTATCAGCAAATGGTCAGCCTGCCAACAAGTGCATTTTTTCCCTTCAGTTGTATACTAAGGATGTTTTGGGCACTGGATTGCAACATGCATCAAAGGATCTTTGTCCTCATAGGTTCTTGGGTTTCCGATCGAGTTTTCGCAGTCAACCATCTCTAGGCCCGCATCACAGGGAGATGTCCAGAAACTACACATTGAAATCTATTTTCTCTACCTTACAAGAGCTGCTCTTTGTCTCATGACCGTCCTCCGCAGAGCCTTCAGTTTCAGCTGATTTTGAGGCAAGTTCACCACTTCATATTGCAGGAGGGGGGTTGCTTGAATGGTACATGGGGGGCTTCATTTTTGAATTATGCATGCATTTTGCATAAACTCAACTGAATATTCAATTTCAACCAGCACTTTCCCCCCAAATTCCAGTGCAGTGAACACTTTCAACTTTTACCACTCCTACCAAGAATAAGAACACGATGGCAAACGACCAGGCTTCAGGTTCGAAGGCGTCAAAACTCAAGACAAGGTAGCAGCAGTCTCTCTCCCAAACCAAAACCAAAACCAAAACCCACACTGAATATTATCTATTTGGTCCATGATGTAGTTACAAACCATTTCGGTCTTGGGAACCGATTCACACCAATGGAGAGGCGGCCATCTCAGCTGGGCCGAGGCTACTGTTCTCTACCCTCGACCAGCTGACGATCATCTCTGATCTCAAAACGGCAAAGAAACTCTGGACGATCGATGGCGTCAGTCTCTCATTTCTTTTCAGCCCTCATACTCTAAGGCCTGCTTTTTGCTTCTTTTGCTAACCCAATCTGTTATCCCCCACCTCGTGACATTCACTCCCATCTGCTTCTTTATACAATCCGCACTCCCGCATCATTTACCTTAAAGGACCTAGGATTCATCATCTGTCACCTCGATCTGCTGTACCAGTACTTGTCCCACTTTCCAACCCACGACATTTCTCTTGATTGCCTATCGGTCTCTCGCGATCAGGATATACTCGGTCGAAATGAGCAATGATCCAGATTCAGCACTCCAAGTCGACCTTCTTCGGACGACCGCACGAGCCCACGAGGCGCCGATATCCATCTCAACCAGTGATCCGACGGGCCGGCTGTTTGCCACCGGTGATACGGCAGGCCTCGTCCGAGTGTGGGACGGACGCGCTGGCCATTGTACACACATCTTCAAAGGCCATGGCGGGATCATCTCGGCCCTCAGCTTCGATATCCATCTCGAATCCAACCGGGCTAGACTCGCCGTTGGGGCTGGGGACTGTCGGATCAAACTCTGGGATCTGACGACCAAGAACCTCGTCGGGATCTTCGAAGGTGGACACGTTTCGATCATCCGTGGTCTCGGAATCACTCGTGATGGCCAGAGGTTGGTCTCCGGTAGTCGTGATAAAGTCGTGATCGTCTGGAATCTTTCCGAGGCCGATCCAAGCGCAACTCGGATTCTCAAGACCATACCGATCTATGAATCCATTGAATCCATCGGACTCATTTATCCCTCTGAAGATCAAGAAGCACAGCAACCATCCAAGAAGAAGTCAAAGAAATCATCAAAGGCCGCTCGTTCTGACTCTCAACTGAAAATCGAACAGTCACCTCTCATCTACACCGCAGGCGAAAAAGGTCTAGTTAGACTTTGGAATCTCGAATCTGGAGCTCAAGTGGATTCTGAGGAAAATCATCAAGATTTCCCCAACAAGGATCTAGTCCATGTTGCGATCTCTGACACCAGGTGAGCTCTCTCTCTCTCTCAATTAATCGATACTTTTTGCCTACCATAAAACTGACTGCCGTCGATTCAGATTTGATCCAGTGAGCAATACCCTTTTGGTCAACAAAACCGATCAAACCTTCAGTTTATTCACCTTACCAAGTCTTGAATTAGTCCAACAAGTCGTTGGATCACACGACGAGATCATAGACATGTCGCTCCTTAGAACAGACTCCGCCCAAGACCAGCCGAGCCACTTAGCTTTGGCCACCAACTCCCCTCTGGTTAGGATCCTCAGTTTAGGGGAAAATGAAAATGACTGCAGATTATTACCTGGACATAGTGATATCGTACTCTGCCTGGCGAAACCGAAGGACCAAAGTTGGTTTGTCAGTGGCTCGAAGGATAGATCGGCGCGTGTATGGAAGTGTTTCTCTAAAGTTGACCCAAGCAATCAGAAAACCGGGAGGAAGACAACATGGAAAACAATCGCTAGTTGTGAGGGTCATGTCCAAAGTTTGGGAGCCCTGAGCATCGCAGAATTCCTAGATTCCAAGGGCAAACCGACGACACTTCTGGCGACGGCTTCTCAGGATCGGACAGTGAAGCTATGGGACCTGTCAAATACTCTTTCAATGGCTCAAGATGGGGAGGTTCAGCAGGGGGACTCCCCCGCAAAACTCAAATCGTTATTGACGATGCAAATCCATGACAAAGATATCAACTCGATCGACTTTTCCGCCGACTGCTCATTGTTGGGCTCCGGATCACAGGATAAATTGGGCAAGTTATTCTCCGTCGAGCATTCGCCCAAGATGGGCACATCCTTAAAGCTATCGGGGATCCTGAAGGGACATAGTCGTGGGATCTGGTCGATCAAGTTCTCGAAACATGACCCATATGTGATCACTGGCTCAGGAGATTGCACAATCAAACTGTGGTCGACCGACCGAAAGCTCTCGAAACACTCGGAGGCCGAGGATGCAGTAGATGGCTTTGGGAGCTGTTTGAAGACCTTCGAGGGACATTCGAACTCGATTCTTCGTCTAGATTTCATCAACTTTGGGCAACAGATCGTCTCGGCCTCGTCGGACTGCTTACTGAAACTCTGGGACATCAAGACCCAAGTATGTGTGGCCACGTTGGGAGACGAAGAGGAGGAAGAAGAAGGCTTAGAGGCGCCTATGAGGAAGATGAAGATGATTAGCGACAGTCATGAGGGCAAGATCTGGGCCTTGGATGTGGTGGATGAGGCGGGCAGTCAGATGCTCTCAGCGGGGGCGGATTCACGACTGATCTGTTGGCAGGATGTGACGGGTGAGATCGAGACGAAGAAGATCCGGATGAAGGAGCGGGAGGCGGAGATCAACCAAGACCTGGAAAACTTTGTTCGGGTCAAAGACTTTGGGGCGGTGATCCGACTGCTGCTGAAGCTCGACAAGCCGGCCCGGCTGCTGCGACTGTTCACGGACCTCGAGCGGGCCGAGGGGGAGCCGGGTCTGGACGAGTTTGGCCCCCTCGACCTCGAGCGCTCCGTCACCGGCTCCCTCGATATCGACCGCGTCATCCAGAACCTCACGCCCACTGAGCTCGTCAAATTGCTTAGACATATCAAGAGCTGGAACGCCGTCAATCGCTCTAGCTTGGTCGCTCAGAAACTGCTCTTCTTGATCTTCAAATCCAACGCCGCCACCCAACTCCTGTCTCCTCAACTTTCGTCCGATCTCGATCCTGATCATCAATCTGATGACCTCGAGCTTCTTCAAAATCAACATCACAAAAATATTAAGAAGAAGAAAAATGGCGATAACGTCGCTAAACTTCCTTCTAATCATCTCCTCGAATTGAAAGATACCTTGAAGGTTCTTGCGGCTTATTCGGATCGCAATCTCGTCAAAATCGATAAAACCGTCCAAGAATCTTTCTTGATTGAATTCTTGTTGAACCAATTTAATTAGGCCAACCTCTTCCTCATTTTTTTTTTTAGCAAATTGAAGTTTTGTTTTGTTTTTTTGATTTGGAATGATTGCAACATGGAAGAAAAAAAAACCCAATTGTGTGAATAAGCATTACTAGTGGGCTACATCACAAATGGAAGTAATCTATTTCAATCATATCCGTGTGCTTGATACTGAGTAACTGCTGTCAATTGTTCTGTATCTTGTGTGCACTCAATCACGTATCTTAGGATATAGAGCCACTTGATTTGTCAGTTTCTGTTGCGCAGATAATGCCAGTTTTGCAATTGAATGTGATCATCTCCCGATACAGTTGGAGATGTGGCCAGACTGTCAGATTATGTTTTTTTTGGCCATTTGATATGTGTGTCATAAATCTTGTGACAGTTTGTTTCATCATCTGAGCAGTGTGAATGGTTTATTGTATGTGAAACAGGTCTGGCTTTGATCAGTCATCTTACAGGGCTCTTGTTGGCCTTCATACTATTGATACTTGCATTTTTTTGACATGCTTGGCTGGTTCAAAATGTGAAGTTACACCCCATTGTATCAAAACTATCTGGCCACATACATTTCATGAATGGCTCATGCGTCACACATAGAAATCCTTGCAGGTTTCAAGCAATAAAGTGAAATTTAAATAGCAAAGCTTTACCATAACACATGAAATAGGAGGAGTATTCAACCAACCCCTCCATCTGTTTTTTTGTAGCCAGACATTCCTTCCAACCATCTATTAGAATAATCCCAAGCATGAAAAACCACTACCTCTTTGAGCTTTGCATTTATTTTTCTGGCTGTAATGCCATGCAAAACTTCTCATGGGATTTTCCAAATCATCTATCCCTTCAAAACCTTCAAGATGAACTCATCAATCATCCGCCTATGCCCAAGCTCCCATTGACCTTATCAGTCCAGGGCCCCCCAACACACAATTTTGACTTGCACAAAGGTTCAAATCCCATAACATCAGCTGATCTCATTGATCATGGCAATACCATCACAAGACTGAAAGAGCTCCAAGATGCAGGAAAGGAGCTTTGTCTTGCTCTTCCCACCTCAAATCAGCAGCCTCTGTCTCATGACAAAGTGGTTCATCCAACTTTTCCAAATGTGTGGAGCAGTTTATCTTCCAGCTCCTCAGACTTTCTACAGGCTTTGAATAATATCAAAGAACAATCTGGCCTTCATCATCCACATGAAGTGATGCCAATTGAAACAGCTCAAACGCTAGAGTCCCCCCTTGAAGATTCTATCACCAAGAAAGCCAATGGAGATCAAACAATGGATTTGATGGCTTCAAGATTTGCAATTTCTTCACACATAGAAACCTCTGGAAGTCAAAGATTTAGCAGCTCCCACAAAGATTTTTCCAATGATTATCAAGGCCACTTCAAAACAAATACAAAAATAATCAAGAATTGCAACCAGAAGTTTTCAAGCATCAACACTATCAACCATCATTTGGATGGTGAAAACCATGATATTCCTGCCCTGATTGATGAATCAGTTCCTACAAAGGCCAGACTGAATGGTGATTTTCCACAATCCAAATTGGAAAATAAAATTCAAAATCTAAAGTATGATCAATCAATGAACTTTGTGGATAAAAGCTCAAAGAACATCCCTATCAAGAAATCAAGAGATTACAAAAGGTCAGCCAGAAAAGACTTGACCTGTTTCAAGAAATTGGGGAGTTTAAGAAGTAGTCTTATTGAAGGAATTGCTCAAGGAGGGGAAGGAATTTCTTCCAATTGCCCCAACACTATTTTTCCAGATAACCAGAATGAGAACTCACTTCTACATATTGGACCAAGGATGGAAAGCTTACGTTTTGATCAGGAAACTCTTGTGATTCAAGATCCAAACCAGGAGTTTCAAGAGAGACTTGTGAAGACATTTGAAAAAATCCAAACTGGGCCCAGAGGAGCTATTATTTTACCAATCAAAGATGCTCCTGATGTGTTTTTTGAAATGAGGGCCCTTTACAGCCATTCATTGAATCACCCAAGAAAAAATAGAGACAGAACATCTGGCCCTCAAAAGCCTTCAAGAGCTTTACTTCACAAAAGCTCACAAAAGCTGTGGAAACATCAAGATGAATGGTTTCAGTTCTGGGAGAGGAGCACAGGAATCAATGTTCTGGAGGAAATGAAAGGCAGAATAGTCTTATCAAATAATGTGAAAAGATTGATACAGTTATGTTTATTTTACATTGATATGATCACCACAATCATCCAGCCAACCCAGGGCACACATCCTAACATCGGAATGAAGAAACAGATATTCCGAAATGCATTGGATGTTTTTGAGGATTTCAGCAAAGAATCATTGCGTTACAGAGCTTTTGAAAGGGCAGACTCCAGGAGAGCCTACAGCATGATGGTTGAATTGCTTTGGCCTTTCTTAGAAACCTGGATCAGGAAGTCAGGAAGTGCAGATCTGGAAACCCTGGCTTTCAGGGGGAAATCAAAGATTTATGCTGGATTCAAAAATCTTTTCCACAACATCCACAAGTTCTCCTGTGATAGATTGAACATGCAATTAACATATGATTCAAATTTAAATCAATAATGTGGTCATGTTTATCATATCTCAGTTCCTGATTTTCTTGAATCTAGCAAAAATCATTCCCCTTTAAATCAAGAGACTTTTTTCAGCAGTATACTCAGCCAAGTGCCAAAATCAGAGCAAAATATTACTTCTGTTCATCTGATCCATGTCACATTTACCAACTGGGGTGTTATTTTGTATCTGCCTGTCCTGTTTTCTGTTGACTTGCTGCATGACTGTCCTACTATATCTGCTAAACCTCTGGCAATTTTTGCTATTCTTTCACTTCCCTGTTAGGATATTTATTCTAATTACATACAACTGTGTGGGATGTGAGAAGACAATTGATTAACAGACTAACACTTCAAAAGATAATCCAAATCGTAGGAAGAAGCCTTAAAAACATTCTTTTGTTTTTTGCAAAACAAAAACCTTTTTTGAACTCAGAATCTTGACTGCATTCTATCAACTGCAGGTGGCTGCACTTTTTTCCCAAAAATTGTCAGTGTAGCTTCTCTTTTTTTGTGCAAAAATTAAGCAGTGTTAGGGTATCTTCACTACACTAAACTACACTATGGACTGCTAGCCTCTAACTGGTGTGTTAGCATAGTGTAGTGGGTGTATTTTGGGGACCTGCACTTGTAGCAACAGTGGGACACTACACTAACCAATGTTTAGTGTAGCACAGCAGAATTGTGCCACAACTGCTCTAATACAACATGTGTGGGCAGCAAAAAAGGGCCCACTACACTGTGCTACAGCGCATTTTAGTGGTTTTTGGGGCTTTTTTGCCTCTAAAAGTAATGTAGCGCAGTGGCACTCACATGCACACTAACACTACAGGTTTGGTGCACTGTTTTGAGGGCCGCTACACCCAAATTAGTGGGCTGTTTAGCGCAGCATAGCGTAGCAGCCCACCATTGCTTGTAGTTTTAGCTCACATGTGGCAGAATTCTGCTACACTGCACTATCTTTTTGGTGAAAATAGGCTATGCTAAGCTACACTAACACCATGGTTAGTGCAACTGGTCCACCATTTATTCTATGATTTTATGATAATTTCATGGAAAAATACACAACAAGTGTAGAAGATTTGCTGGAAAAGAACTAAAAAAATCTAAACTGGTCCAATTAAAGTTTGAGCCATCTAAATTTTCCACAGTTAAATGGAAAAGTATAAATTTAGGGGGTTGGAAAAACAACTCCCATTTTGGTTGAGGGGTTGTCGGACGGGAGTCGTCTTTCCAATTCCCCCTGGGGGATTAGGAGTCTCCAATTACCCCCGGGGGATTGCGAGTCTCCAATTCCCCCTGGGGTATTGGGACTTGACCTACCAATTCATTTTTTTATTTTTTTAGGTGGGAGTTGGCACCCAAAACCCTCCTTGGCAAGTGGGAGGTTTGGGAGTTGCTTCCCTCCCACTGGCCGGGGGGGATTCCCTCCGTTCATCGAGACTGTACAGTCTCAATGACCCCAGGGAATCCCAGTGGGACTCGGAGGGAGGCGGGTCTCAACAATGACAGGAAAGTGATTCTTTCCGGTCATTTAGAATGTACAGTCTCAATGAGACCATTTGATGACCAGAAGGAATCCCTTCCGGACATCAAGACCATTTGATGACCGGAAGGATCCCTTCTGGTCATCAAGATCATTCGATGACCGGAAGGATCCCTTCCGGTCATCAAGACCATTCAATGACCGGAAGGACCCCTTCCGGTCATCAACACCATTGCAATTTTGATGACTGGAAGGAAT